AGTTGCTATAATCGATACAAATTGGTTTCGTCTGGTAACGCGTGTGTATAATTGTTCGAACCGTCTTCATCTTTCCTGAAATTGGTCTCGCACGCGACAAAGACTGGTGTTGAAAGTTTGACCTAGAAAATCGAGACGTTTTACAAAGAAATATTTGAATCACTTTGAAACTTAGCTTGATACTCAGTTGATGACATGAAGACATGTATAGCTGTAGATACAAAGACTTTGCAGTTATAATGCAGTATTAAGTATTTGCATTTGCAGCTATACATATCTTGGTTTCTTTAACTGAATAACAATATCTGGAAAGTTTCTCAAATTTAGGGGAAGAAATTTCAAATTAATTATAGGTTTAAGATCTATGTTTCTCTTAGATTCATTCGTTGAATCGGTGAAACCAAAATAAGACCTTCTCAAGATTCATTCAATAGAGAGCAACAATCATAAACTCGCGTACTGAAAGCGACAAAAATACGTTTTAAGAAAAATAAAATTTTCCAAATGAGAAACAAGAAATTTGGAAGGTAGTTAAAAAGCTACCCGCCAAGTAATAAAAGTTCTGGAAGTACTCATTTTATTCAGCTCGAATCAAAAGTACTCATATAATCCGATTCATTTCATTCGTTTTATGTCCTATAGCAGTTGCAGGAGTAGTACTCTGCGAATGTGACTGTTAACATGAATGTTTTAAATGGTTTAATCCCATAACAATACTCGTCGGACATAATTTTATTCATTTTAAACTGTAATTTTATTGATATTTATATTAGTCAGCCGTTAACTGTTGTATATTATTAATATTATACATATCGAGCAAATGCAAACTCTATTTCTATAAATTCACTTTATATAAATTTATAATCACTGCAGGTGGCAACCGTATACTGGTACATGGCTACATAAGAGATATTATCGGATGATCATACGCACTCTCTCTTTTGATCCAAACAACGGGACATACAACAGGAGGTTATATGTCGCGTTGGTTGGACCAAAAGAGGGTTATATGTCTTTTTCCTACGCTATGAAGGTTATATGTTTTTATTTCCTTTGCAAAAGTTAGATAAAAATGGGCACTTTTAAATAGATAGTGTTTAAAAAATATCACCGATGATATTTTGGAATTGTTTTATAGATCAGTGTTAAATTAAACGAATTCGAAGTTCAGGTGAAACAGTCAATATTTAAACTCTCTTTGACTACTTTAAATTGTATAAATTAGTAATATTTACATTTTTCTTAAGGTGATATTAATTTGATAAGTTATTGTCCGAAGAATTTTAACTCTAATGTTAAATGTATTCTTTTTGAAATAGTGTTCTTTACTGTAATATTGCACTGGGCTGATAAAAGATATTGAAAATCTCTGAACACTCGTTGTTTCTTTTTGGATACAGATGAAATTGATTTCACATGTCGCAGCCACTTAAGTGTTTAACGTCTAGGCTTCAGTAATGGATCCAAATTTCGCAAGCATTCATTTATCTAAACTCCAGTATTGCATCCAAATTTCGCAAGCATTAATTTAGAATACAAATCCTTCTGAAACAGTTTATTCGTTTCTTGGAGATTTTCTTCTTGCTTTAATCGATTGCGAGAAATCGTTTCATTAAAGATAATTCTATATAATTGGGACAATGGAAGCTGAAATAATATTCAACACAAGTAGTGAAATAATTCTCCTTTCTGCATTATTCTGTTCACAATGATTTAACTGTTGTAAGATTATCCTGTATAACTACAATTATTTCATGAAACATATGCTATGTATTTTCTGAAACCTTTTCCTTCCTCCTTATAAATTTTTCCTCCTTCAAGTTTAAAATTTTCCTTTTGCCTGGAATACAACCTTTTTGCCACTGGGAACATCCCAGTCCGATAACAAAATAGATGCAGGGGTGGAGAAAGAGGAATGAAAAGGTAATGAATGGAAAATTAAAGACAATTCCATGTCATATTCTCATATACTTTTTCATTGTATTCTAGAACAGACAAGATTCTTCGACGACTCTTTCCTCGTCATAATACGTGTCTTGCAAATAAAACAACAGAGTGTTATTGCTCAAGAGAGAGGGCTTCTCAAGGTGGAAGTCATCAGGTATACGATTATTTTGCATAATCGATTCTACCTTGAAAAGTTTACTGAATATAAAAATCTCATGTCTTGAATATTGTAGTACTTTTGCAACCATATGATGGTATCATAAACTAAAAGAATTGTCATCAATGAATCAAATTATTATACTTGATACTCCTTATTAAAGTACAGTTGTATAAATCTCAACTGTAATTTTGTTTCACTTATTCGAAGACCAACGATTATTACGATGCCAGACTTTGCATTCTCAGACTTGCCTACATCAGAAAGCTTAAGATATCCAATAACGTACGTCTGCGTATTATTGCAGCTAAACTAAAAACTTTGGAAATTCATTTAAACATACACGTGTTTTTTTATTTATTTTTTTTTTATGAATCTGAAGCTTTTAAGGCTCTTCATGAATGTGATTAACACGTTATTATTTTTTGGTTGAAGGACTTGACGCCCATTGTAAACATATATGTGCAGCCAAACAAAAGTATGGGAGTAAAGATCATTGAACTTTTTTGAGCAAAAGAGAATTACTTTTTGATAACATATTCACTTATGTTTTTCAGTAAAGAAGCAAAATAATGCAGAAAAAAGTGGTACCGTTACTTATTGGAAAAGAGAAATTTTCAGTTGTTGAAAATTCATAAAGTACTGTAAGTTAGTATAGTCACTTCATAGTCATGCTTTTATCGAAGTGAATCCTTACGTCCATGAAGCATTCAAGAGTTTCAGGAATGTTAATTTACGTTTGAATTACATCTATTTCTAATTTTTTTCAATAGGATAATTTTTTACCCTTTCCGAAAATCATTTGTAATTTTATATGCCAATTCATGAAGAAGTATTTATTTTAAATAAAGTAATACTTTATTTTTGAATCTCAGATTCTGTATTAAATTTAGAACTAGTTAAATATAATTTCCAGATATGAAAACTGTATGGATATTAATTCTAAACTGACTAGCTCTTTTAGTCACTGGTTAAAAATTTGAGTGCTTTACATGTATGTTAACTAGTTTGCCAATCGAATATAAACAACTGTAATACGTTCCGCATGCACACGTAATATAGTGTTTCGTAAAACGAAAGTTTACATACATTACCCTTCTAAGTATGGTTTACGTACACTTTGTTCCAGTTTTACTGAAGTCATAAGAATTAGTATGCTTATTCAAATTTGGTCTAAAGAGGTCGTAGAGTCATTAGGAGTTGTGAAATAGGAAACATGAAAAAAGAGCATTGCCGTCGCCGGGACTCGAATCAGGACCTCTTGAATAGGCGCCGAGTGTGCTACCGTTACAGCACGAAGGCATTCAGAAAGGAGGAAGAAAATACCTTATAAGGTAGCTATGTCTGACATAAGAATGTTTAGATTGAGATATCGAGGAAGTGATAAAAATGCAACTCTTAAATAAAGAATTTTGTTATTCGGAAGAAACATTTACTTAATTTAAAGGTTTAGACCAATCTTGAAATATCAAAATTAGTAATATTATTACGCGAGAACCAGGAAATTCTTCCCCTTTTCGGCAACACAATTTACACACATATTCACATATATTTATATACATATAAAGGAAGGTCCAAAATGACGTAAAATAACTTTACAATGCATGATTTAGGAAATATTTATAATATATAATAATGTAAACATAATAGTAATTAATTACATATTCTAAATTTTACGATCTTTTGCTGATTTTATTTCATAACATTTTTATCCATTTATAATATTTTATAATTATATACAAAATCTTGAGCACGAAAAGGAAGCTTTTATTTGTCCAAGCATTTTTAAATATGGTAAAAAAAAAAAAAAAAAAAAAAAAAAAAAAAATCCTTAACGTACATAACACTGCGTTGATAAATGTACGAATATACCATATAGTCATGCAGGACAAACATATATACAAATATTAATTTGTTAAATACTGTTTAAATCTTCATAAAAGTTTTAAGAAGTCTATATTAGATTAAGCCAATTCAGATGAAATATAATCTAGGAAGAAACATTACGCTGAGAATCACTAGGGATTAAAGAATGATATTTGTGCAATTTAGTTTTCATTAAATCGATAAATTTAATTAATTTCTGGGAAATAGTTTTCTCGTTAAAAGCTAAAAATAAAAAACCTGGGAGATTTGGTTAATCTACCGATCTACCGGGAGATGCCGTTAAAAACCAAGAGGCTCCCGGTGAAACCTGGAGAATTAGCAGGTATGAAAAGCCAATTTACAAGCTGTCTTTTCTACAGAAAGAGAAAACCATACGTGTAAAATATTTAGCTATTACGTAGGATACTGTTGTAAAAAAACTTGCTATCTAAAACGCAATCGATAATGAGCATCAATAATGAAAGATGAAAACCGTAATACTTTATAATTCTAACCGCAGTTTATCCTGACCAAAGTCCGGAACAGGTTGCTAAAAGCCATTTACCGGGTCTCTTCACCGATCCCATTGGAAGGCCTTCAGTGAGAACTAACGTCACATCCTGCGACCACCTGTTTAGAATGCGTGGCACGTGCTGGCCCTCACCGAGAAACTTCGACAAGACAATGAGACGCCACATACAGGGGTGACTGCTTAAGGTTCCTTTCCTCCGACAGGAATTGTGAAAATTTTTGCTGATTTCTTTGAAGGTCGAGATCTAAAGTCTTTGTCAGTGGAAGACAAGATTTGGATGGCATATCGCGGAAGAAGACTGTACTAAACTAAATACTCGACTATTAGCCATGGTTATTAATGTTGTGCATATACTCGCAAAGTGTAATTCACATACTTAAAAAAAAAAAAAAAAAAAAAAAAACTCAGTTCAAATCGTTGTTACTTCAGTGCAATAGATAAAATAATTCATAAATACAAATTAACGGAAGAAAGAATGTGCCAATTGTTAATGCTTACCAGTCGCCTCTTAGGTTTAATGAGCGGCCTGTTTTGGCCGTTCATTTTGTGGTAAAGTCCGCAGGCATTGCAAAGGTAGTGTCCCGTGCCGTCCCTGCGCCACAATGGCGTCGAGGTGGCCCCGCAGTTAACACACTCTCGTCCCTCTAAAAATGAAAGGTAACACATTTCAGACTACATGCTTATACAATTGCAAATGTACGTGAATAAATAAATAAATACCTTTCGTCAACAATGAGAGAAAAAGAAAAAAAAAAAAAAAAAGATGAAGTAACACGCGTAATGGGTGCAAGTAAAGTAATACAAAGAACTATTTAGATCTACGATTTATCTGATTACTAAGACAAAATTAGAATCACACATGAACATTAAACTGAAAATATTTTCATTGATTTAACAGAGCTTCTTGCAGTATGTTGTGTTTAAACACGTGCAGCCTTGTTTGGTTATTAGAAGTATGCTGTGACTTATCTCACTTGTCTAATAACATCAGAATGAGTTCACGAATTTTATTGCGGAGAGGAGCGCAGGATTGCCCCTATCTTTGCTATGGCATCTTATAAGTGATAGAACAACTTCGCTAAACTGCGTCCCAATTTTGAAAGCGAATCCCCCAAGTGCGGATCCAAGGGTCTTTCACCACTCTTTCCCTAATTACAAACTACTCGCGAAGACTCGATTCGCCATGTATTTTAAGTGCCTCCATGTCACTTAGACATGGAATTCGAACCCGAGCTTAATGATACGATTGTCAACATTGTTAACCACTATAACCGATCAGGGCGGATCTTACTTAAGTATTAATTACGTGATCAGATATATTCTACTACAAGCAAACTTATGAATATTTAAATGATAAATATATACTTTTACGAAAGGGAGGAATTAGAGCAAATGGAACAAAAGAAATTATTGGCTTGAAGGTTTCACTAGCAAATTATACTTGATACACATTGTAAAAGCAATCCAGGATTTCATATGTCTAAGCGCTAGATGTTTCTAAAAGATAAAATATTAGTTAACAGTATTACAAAAAAAGCAAAGCAAAGGAAAACCAACGCCTCTTTTATGAAGAAGATCAAGGTAGATTAAATTATGAATTTAATTTAAAGGGATTCGTTCCAGACTTCAGTTTTATGTATTTATGATATTTTTTCCTAACTTTCTCCGAAAATATCATTAACTTATTGCAATATAATAATAATCAAATATTATTAGCTTCATATCCAGTTTCAAACTGAATGTGAACTTATCATGCACTCATATCATTAGCAATGCAGTTTTTATTTGAGATCACTTCACCCTTTATGTTTTCCGCCTTACCTTAACTTGACAAATAAAAACTTACTTCCTTAATTACATTGATGAAGCGACTATGTTTAGAAGCCCTTAATTTCGTTTAGCACTCACACACACAAAAAGCTGTAATTCAAATTTTAATCGCTTTCTAAATACAATATGAATCTGATGACTACCGTACGATACTATTTGTCTTAAGATATACTGAATGACTACTTATTGTTTCCTTTCATTTTCAGTTTTTTGACCGGTGATTTAGAGATACTTTTACAATGAAATTATAGACAATTAAACATTTAACTTTCCAGCAAAAACACGGCAAAGTGATTTTTAGCCAGTTCTTTACTTTCTATCCTAATAATAAGGCTGCAATCAATGAAATGTTATTCTAACTCGCTATTTTCCCCCCTTCTTTTAAAATCAGTGTTGAGATCCAATTATGTAATTTTGCCTTTCAAATCTATTTATAGATTAGTTTAAAGAGAGGACGAAATCATCCTATTCAGTGCTTAACTACACTTTGAAATTCCGATCTGATTATTGAGATTCCAAATAATTTAATTAGGTATATTAAATAATTTGAGATTTAGTTTTTTAGGTTAGCCATACTCCTCAAATTAGAAGAGGCCTTTTCATTTCAATTTGGTTCAAAAGTTGAGAATAATCACTCTTTCTTCTTGAATTTGTTTGTAATTCATCTACTAAAAGAGAGAACATGAAAAGTAATAAACTATCAATATGAAATTTTACCATCAATATACTGCTTCCAGCAGCATGCTCATTTAAAAACAATTCCTTGCTTTTACATTTTTACTTCTTTATACGAAGTACAGGAAGTATCGCAATCGTGCAAAACTTCGGGTATATCGTTCAAAGAAAACATCCATTTTGACTGCTTTCGAATGCATTTGAACGATGTTTTTGCGTGACATATGTATGTACCGATATATTAAAAGTCTCTCTCTCTTTCTTTTTTTCCAAAATGGACTGTAAAAGGGATTCAGAAGAGATTCTTTCGTGACGTCTGTACGTATGTATCTCGCAAAACTCAAAACTTTGAAATTTTTTGTATGAGAATGTTATAACATATAGTTGTACACCTTAATTTTTGGTTGTTCTTACGTTCCAGTTGAAATTTTTATGCCTTTAGTTGATGCAATAGTTGTAGAATTGTCAACAGTTTAAATTTGTTTAAGTGGCGCTAAGCCTAACGTGGCTGCCAATTGTTTACACTTGAAACGTAGCAGAATAGTGATTTAAGTCTCTTTGTGCACAAACTTCAGTGGTGGTGTTTTTTTCGGGGGGGGGATGTGGTGTGGGATCAAAAATAAACTTTTAATTTTGTGCATCGAAAAATCTGTCTTCTTGCCCACTCACAGAATTATTACTATTATTATTATTATTATTATTATTATTATTATTTTGGTCTGCGTACTCTAACTTCAAAAACTGTTTTTTTAACTGTTTTTAACTGCATTTGATGTTTTATGTTTTTCTGTATTTTACAATTTTTAATGAAGATGCTTTGAGTTTTTGTGTGCAGCCTTGCAACGAAATGAGAAATGAATTAATTAAATGATAAATATATCCGTAATGAAATTCGAGGAAATAAGTTAAAAATTTTTATAATTTAATAGACCGTACAAGGAAGTTATGTAGTGTCCAGATGATATATTTTAGTTATTTATGGCTTTAACCAAGTCAGTTTTCAACTATACTTAAGGCACTTCTAAAGTTAACTCCAGAATTAGAAAAGTATCCAAATTTGCTACTTTGCAAAGACACATTTTTAATAGTTAGAGTAATATAACATCACTTATAATTTTTATTCTAATAGTTTCCCTTCTGACGAAAGTGCAGGTACTTATATATTTATCATAAATAACGTAATTTGAGCTAAATTTTCAAAAGCTATTTCTTTCTTTAAAATCACGATTATTTTTATGAAATTACAAAATAGCACCGTTCAGATTCTAATCACCAAATTTCATTCTAAATGTGACTGAAAATTTTTGGAATTATTAAGGCCATATATTTAGGGAAAGAATAAAATTTGATAAGTTTTAAGAGTATTCCCAAAAAAAAAAAAATTTTTTTTTTTTTTTTTTTTTTTATACAAGGAATTTTTATGATTACGTAAATAAAGTAAATTTGAAATTGCCTTCGGAAGCAAAATCACACTTAACAGACCAGAGATAAAGAGGGGAAAAAGGGATTTTGGGGATCAAATGCAAATTCGATAAAGAATTCGAAATCGAATTTTATTCATTTATAAATACTTGTTTATACTTAAGCATTGTGTCCCATAATAATAATAATCATAACTATATAAATGCAAAGAGAGATATCTGAAGAAAGATTGTGTCATGGACTGTTAAATGTTGCCGTCCGGTGCGGAGCCTGAATTTGTCACCTCTTTTATAACTACAAACAACTAAACAAATAGTCAGAAATAATTTCAAAATTATATGTAAGAAAACAAATTAAAATTCTACATTTATTTTTGAAGAAAAACTTTAATTTTAGCATTTTAAAATTATATTATTATTTTAAGAGATTCTTTGTTTTTTCTTTTTTTCACCAAACCACTGATGACATTGCAAAATTCGGTTGCTCTAACTGTTGTTGTGTAGACACTAGAGATAGATTTCTTAAATGAAAAATATACTTTTGTAGTTCTTAAATATATCTAACTTTGTTCTGGAGATTGTACTTTAACATAAATTGCAAAATTCAAAAAGACTGTCCATCTAGATTTCTATTCCTATCTGCCAAGCAATATATGTGTAACGTGTATACGAGCCAATTTCCCTTAGAAAGTCCTCTACAAAGGCATCCCTTTTCTTAGGTAGATAACCCTCGAAGGTTTGCCGTAATCTCATAAAACTAAACTAAACCCAAGCACTAACGAAAATAAAACTCCGCAATTCTTTCTTATGAGCGATTCTCCCTTATGTCATCGTGATCCTAATTTAATTGATGTTCGTAAATTTGATTCAAAAGTTTCGACGGAAAGAGATATGTAACAAAAAATCTGTTACTGTATCACGTGATAATTTCTTTGAATATTTTATCTCGTGTAAAAACTCTTTTCTTCTCAATTTAATTCCGTACGTAAATTTATAAAGAAATCATTGTTCATCTTCGAAAATTGCGTTTCACACAAAAAAATGTCGCCTCTAAAAATGTGTCGGTCCGCCCCTCTCTAGTTGGCCCATTGGCTGTTACGATTAGTCAGATAGTTGAAATATTTCACTGACAGGAAAAAAGGAAGTATTTTATTGTGTAACACGTGGACACCCTCCCGAAAAGGTGTCAAAAGTTTTTGTGTTTCAACAGTATAGATATTTTTGCAACAGAAATTGTGCTTTTGACATCAACCTCTATTGTTATTGCTCTATTTTCAACGATTAGTAGGATCTCTGAATAACGCTGCCTGGTCATAAAGGGCTAAAACGTCAACAAACAGTTATCAAATAACTTACTCTTTTTACTATATCCATGTTATAACATTCTTAATAGTATTAAGTATGAATTTTGGTATGCACAGAAAAAGAAAAATAATACGAATGGATTAATTATTAATTACTTTAATTGTAGTCATCAGTAATAATAAAAAAAATTAAAGCCCTCAAATTAAAAAAAAAAAAATGTCCAGAAAGTGCTGAGTCACTTTAACAGAAAGACAAACATTGAGATAAGGGTGACAAGTAACGAATTTTCTAGAAGGACACGGAAAGCAAATGTTGCAATTAGAGATAGACACCCCCTCTCTTTAGGAGAATGAGGGTGAGTAAATAAAAACCACTCTCAAGAACAGACTGTCAATCAACATTAGTACCGTATATTGTTTGAAAGACTGTGGTGTAGTGGACTCATTGTGTCCGGAAGAACACTGTAGACAAGAGGTTGCACACCTATTTTTGACCAAAAGAGCATTCTTGCGTCTTAGCCCACCTGATCGCAGCTTTCTACTCAACTGATTTTGTCTTTGTTGCTTTCTTTTTCCCCCGAACTAATCCCCGAATTTCGCTTGAGTGGCCCTGACTATAAATATGTGAATGATGGAGCTGTGACAGACTAGCTACAGGGGATCACTTTGGGTGACTTTGTGGTATGTTGCAGCCATTCAAGGAAATCAATGAAGATCTGGATGAGGCTCTTTGAAACACAGAATTCCTGACAATAACCTTCTTATTTTTCTATCACGAGGGGTTGAAAATGTGAAAAAACATCAGAATTTTTAGTGCATCCAAGGACAGAAAGGCGAAAAAAATTGAATGAAAGTTCTCTTGTCGACCGGCTTCTAAAATAATCACCTCAGAGAGATGTGCATTCCTTCCGATATGCAAAATGCATCAATACATCTTCCAACATACAATATTCCTCCCAATATACAGATGCAACCAATCGTCCTTTTCTAAGAGATGATGTTAGTAGTACTGCTTACGCACAACCAGATTTAAGAACAGTTGCATTTGAAACACTTGACAATGACTTTTAATAGTTAATATGTGACATTTGTTTTAAGTGTATACAATAGTCTCTTATAAATATCAAGTTTTGTATCCAAAAAAAAAAAAAAAAAAAAAAAAAAAAAAAAAAAAAAAAAAATTGCAGCATTTGCGGAAAGATTAACTTCATTATTTTATTACAAAGAAAATCGCAGCAGAAACATACTGTTTGCTGTTGGAAATTTGCGGTGAAACTACTTCATCGAATGCAGTTTGCAAAGAATGGTTTCGACGGCTTCAACATAATAATCTTGATGCACATAATAAAAAGCATGGAAACGACCGAAAAACAATTTAGCTTTTGCAACCCAATTCGACCTTCAATGCCGAGTGTTAAAAATTTTAATAAATCATTGAATCAAAAATGTCCAGAATATGTCGAGAGACACGATGAGTTTCTTTCCCGACACGACAGTGTTCACCAACATGTTGCAAGACCAATAAAAAAAATTCCTAAAATAATTCGCTGGAATGTGTTGTCCACCCTCTATATTCATCAAGTATTACTTCGCCAAATTACCATTTGTTTCTATCCTGGCAGAGTGGATTCTCTGGAAAGCGATTCAGCTCTTATATGGTTCGGTTTGGTTTATGTTATTACGGAGTCTCGAGGGTTATCAGCCTAAAGAGAGGAATGCCTTCGTGGAGAAGGGAAACTAGCTCGTATACACTAGCTCTTGCGGGGATTCAAAAATTGTTTTAATGACGAACTGTTTCAAATCAACCTAATTACCTGTTACACCGAATCTGTTTCTTTGGGAAAATACTTTAAATAAACATTTAATTTAGAAAACAAGCAAATGTATTTTATTCAGCTAAAAAAGAGGGAATCCTATTTATACACACAATAATTAAATAATGGTATCACGGATAACCAAGTTCTTTGAAGCGGTTCCCTCAGAAGAAGATTTTAAAATTATTTAAACTGTTCAAAATTATTTGAAATTGCAGCTGATCATCTTAAAAAACTTTCACTGCATTCGCATTAGTGATCTCAAATGGATTAACAATAATTGAAGACTTGGTCATTTAAAAGCATGAGATTTTTTTGTGTGTGAATTGTAGTCGCCTCGAACAGGAGGAAAATGAGCCAATGGTCATACCTGGGAATCGGTTATACCTCAATATGGTCATACCTCAGACAAGGCACGGATGTTTGTAAGTGTATAGTATCGTTTCGGCATGGGGCCACTTACAGCCGACTTTAGACAGGGTGCTGCAAAGAGAATAGGGATGGGATAAATTCGGTTCCCTCCCCCAACGTAAATAAAATAATTCAAATTAAGGAGCTGGGTAAATTGCTACTGTCACCTATACTATGTCCAAGGTCTAAATGGGTTATCACATCTAGCGATGGTCCCTGCTAGACGGGACTTTGAGAAACGAGATTCTGGCAGCACTAGTCTAAAAGGTAGGATTCCCAGGAAAAAAAAAAAAAAGAAAAAAAAAAAAAAAAGAAAAAAACAGCTCTGCTGGAAGCGAAGTCAGCTGGAAGTTCCTAGCTACGGAAACGATGTACCGGCTACGAGGGAGTTTTTGAAACCTAGCCGAAAATGTTTCTGCTGCAGCTCTGTCCCGGGTAGAGATCAATTAATCAGACGAAAGTTCTGCGTCTGAAGGATCCCGTGATCCCAATCTGAGCGATAATCGATTACTGTTTGCCGTTCAATTCTGCTTAAAAAGTAAAAATGGTAACCTAGCAACGTAGGTTTCATGGAAACGTTCGGGTTCTGAGAATTGCCCCTTTCGACATCCAGTGCCGCGTAGCGGAGACATGTGTGATTAGGACTTAAATCAACAACAGTAGCAATCCTTGCCAAGATAAAATCATTGGACTTCATTTGATGCCACTATCAGACAAGTCAGATACATTACAGCTGCTTAAATTGTAATTTAGCACAATCTTTGAATACTTTTTTTTTTTGTACTATTATTTGTGTAAAATTCAACAACTTCGATCGTAACGATCGTGAAAATAACATTTAAACTGTGTGTAACCTTAAAACTTCAAAATTAAATACATTAACTCAAAATAACGTCTCCACTCCTCACTGGAAAACATTCTTTGTAAACGAACAGATATGAGAACATTTAAGGAATGTGTGCGCTGCAGCATTAGATTGAAGTTAAGCTCAACATTCGAAATTCAGAGATACAGTGGTTTCCAGAAGAGTTGGCAGCTATGAATTTTGAATGTTTCATTTGGGTTATGTTACTATGATGCCCTACTATCCAAATGCAGTAATGATACGGTCACGTCTCATTTTCTTTACCCTTTGTCAAATGGCTGAAATTTCAAAGAATCAGATCTTAAACAAATCATTCCGTGAGTTATTTGTGTGCTGGGATATCAATTTGCGAGTTATCATCACCATCTGAAACAATTATTTTCATCAACTTCAGATGTACATACTTCACAGAGGAACCAAGCAAACAAGATAAAAATATAATTATAAAACGTTCACGAGCACATAACGTGTTACTTTATTCCACAGACACCACAAGATACAAATAGAAATTAACTTTAAAAGATAAACTAAAATAAGACAACATTTCACACTGTGATCTTGCTACGAATCATATATCCTTCTAATCACGACAAGACATCACGAAACAGAAAGGGGGAGAAAATGAATAAGCAGGCATCAAAGTATGAAGATCAAAATTTATACGGGCAATCATTTAAAAGCACAGCAAAAATGAGGGCACAGCAAGGCAAGAAAATGCAGGCAAGAAGGGTTATTAGACAAGCAAGCAGGAGACAGAAAGAGAGAAGAGAAGAGAGACAGATTCTTACCACAGGGGTTAGAATAGTGTGTATCGGTATCAGAACTCCACAGTACAATCCCGTTGTTAGTCAAAGTTCTGCTATAGCCAGACCACAGATTCTTGTCATCTGTAAAAGGAAGGGGATAGAAATGGTTGGGTCAATTCACACGTCGTTAAAGTATTATACCTTTTACAGGACAAGAGTCAGTGGTCCGGTCAAGGTCATGCACTGACCACTGAATCAAATTCTGCACAGGTTACAACGAAATCGGACTTTTTCTACATCAGTATTATGTGGCACATAAATACAGTGGTTAGAACCACAATTCATTTAATGGAATTTAAAGTAAAAAGCAGAAAATACAAGTAGCAATCACATTTAATAAAGAAAAACCTTTAAGTAAGTATTTTATTCTATATTACCTTCCATACACGAATAAAAAATTATTTAATTTGCTAATTGATTGAAAAATGAATTAGTGCGTAATGTATGTGCATTTCTAAAATTCTAAATTTTAAGCAGTGCTTCAGAACAAATATCATTCCTTTTAACATATTCTTTAGAGGTAAATTTTCCTTCGAACTGCAAAAAGTTACATTTAGTTTTCTCACAACAGATGGAAAGGATTTTAAACGAAAAATATTTTAAATTTGTGTTATCAGATAATGGCTAAACAACTTAAGTATTCAAATAAAACAATTAAGATTTTCTAAAAATAATATTAACCTCATTAAATGCTGAAAGTTTTGTCAACTAAATAATTTATCAATTTTTAGCTCGAATATCCTTCTCAAATACGAAATTTTGTAAGAAGAATGCATTCATATTTCTTTCAATTAGCATTCTTTCACAGCACTGGAATTTAGCTGATCAGTTAGGTTAAGAAGAAAATAGCCCTTAAAATACGCATTTGCAATATATTGCTATGGAAATATTCTAGCTTAATATGAGACATACTTCATTATTCGCTGTTGCAATACTTCATTTTCTATGAAACCTTTAATATTTTATAAATTATTTTCAGTTCAGAACCTTATTATGAGTTAAATGAAAGTAAGAATAAAGAATGATTTTATTTGTGAACTTAAAACTCTTCTAGACAGGCGCCTGTTAAAGAAACGTAGTTACCAAATTTAGGAAATTTCATCACATTTTAGAAATTCTATTTCTACTAAATGCGAGATTCCTTTGCAGTGTTGCAACGTCGACAATATTTAATTCCTTAAAAGACATAATATCTTTAATTTAAAGAACTTACGTTAAAGAAATTACGAAATCATAAAATATTACGTATTTTTATATATTAATTTGCTTAAAATATTTTATTTTTGGCTACATTAAATAAATTATGAAATAGTTCAGATATTTGGAGACTGTAAAGTACGTAATTGGATATTATGATGAAACATTAAGCAGACCAAATTTTATCACCATACGGAATTTAAAATGTATTATACAAGAGGCTTAAATTAAATTAAAATATTACTTTAACGTACTGTATTATTAGCCCAGAAGGGCTATTAATTTCATTTTGGCGTTTTGCGTTGGTTTACTTGCCACCAAATATTAGACCCCTGTGTTATATTTAAAGAAATTAAATAATGAAGAATATGTATAAAAGTATGCATGTTTCTCGCATTTTGATAAAATAACGATACCTAGAGCCATCAAATTTCGAATAATGTAATCTTCCATTGAATATGTGCGTCTGGAAGCCCGAATTTGGAATTCGAAATTTGTTTTATTATCGATTTCAGATTTTGTAGCACTTTAGCGAAATTTTGATTAACAGACTTAAAGATTTCAAAGCGAGCAATGGCAACACTATGTGGGGACAATTTTTTTTTTTTTTTTTCCCTAGCACGCGAGACTGCATATCGGAATTTTTTTTTCCCCCCCTAGCACGCGAGACTGTATATCGGATTTTTTTTTTTTTTTTTCCTCTCCTAGCACGCGAGACTGTATATCGGAAATTCTAAAGATATGCTCATGCGATATTGCTGTTGAATTGCATTTAAGATTTAAGTGCAAAGAAAATGATATTTAATAAACAAAGGTAGCACACAAAACGTTAAAAAAAGCCGTTTTGGATGTAATACAAAATTTGAAAGATATCTTTTTTGTTCATTTTATCACCATACGGAGTTTAAAATGCATTGTACAGGAGGTTTAAATTAAATTAAAATATTACTTTCATGCTTTGCATTATTAATCACATGCAGTATTTTAAAAAATGTCTTAGAATTGAATGTAAAATACACAGTTTTCTTGCCTTCAACTGTCGTACAAACTATTTCCTCTAGTTTTCAGCTTCTCTTTCTTTTCCGATAAATGTTAAACGGCTGCAATAAGAGGGGCTTTTGCCTGATTCAACAATGCCAATCTTATCGCCCATCGAGTTGACCTCTATACTTTGGTCTTCTTGTAGGACACCCAGCTGCGCCCAAACCCTTACAAAAGAAAGAGAATAAACACGAACAAAGCTAATAATAAAAACTACTCCAAACCTCAAATTTGACTTTGAAATTGCACGTTTCCATGTAAACGCAGGAAGACTTCTCTTCACCCCATCTGTCTAAATGTGGGGTTGTGAAAAGCTTTTATGGGTTATACTCGGAATATCAGTTTAATGTTAAAAATGCAGACTATATATAAGGTTTTCCCGTGTTTTTTAGATTTATTTTTATGTAGCATCGTTATTTTAAGGGAGAGGTTACCGTTTAGCGATAATATAAGCTGTCAGATTTTGCAGTAATTAGAATAAAAAAATGCTTATAATGCAATTTTTTTTTTTTTTTAATGAATTAACTAGAGGAATTACCCGATGGCAGTTAAGTTAGATTGAGAGTGATGCATTTAGCAACAGAGAGAACGATAAAGCTGTAGTTCTTCTCTAATAACGATGCAAAAAATAAGATTCATAGTCATACAGTTTTCAGTCTCATGCGATACGGAACCTACATAAAAAGTAAGCTAGTTCTCTCCTATTATATCAGCAACAATGGCACACAGCTTTTAATGATTTTCGTCTTTCTAATCAACTGGGCGTAAAAGTTCAAGTTCCATCCAATATTTCACTTCACTTTTCGAGATGAAGCATTTTTATCTCCAACGTGCGGAGACTGTTGCCGCTCTGAAAAGTGAGTCAAAATGAGAGCTTTCAAAGTTTTTAATTAATATTTCGGCTTATGAAAGTCGTACGAAGGTGGGAATAGTCGAGATGGCTTCCACGAATTTTTGGAATCGGGAATAATGTATTTAACGATTGGCAATGCTATTTTTATTTCAGCGTAAAACTTAGAAATTTTTATTAACAAACTCTAGGATTTGAAATGAGCAGTTCGGTGTATATTGTATAATCAAATACGTTCAGATTTTCCCAATGCCAATTAGAGTTTTAGCGGGATTCATTTAATTACGAGGTATATCATCAACGTAAGGAGCTGCCAATGTATTCGCCTTTTCTGCAGTTCCGCTTGCTCTTATTTTTTCTGCTCATAATATCACCACTGTGTAAGTCGCTGAAGTGGTTGACTGTTGAAAAAAGATATGTTGTACAGTAGAGACATTAGGTTATTTCAAAGCAACAGACATGAAAAATCAGCAGTGCCCTCGACAGGACTCGAACCTATCCATTACTCGCCGAGCTTGCTGACCATTACACCACAAAGGCATGCTAAGAAGGCTGGAGAAATATCTTATACACGCCCCCTGCGACTGGGAATTAGAGGACCCAATTAGAAAACCCTCGTGGTTGAGAATCATCATCCACCACCTTTTTTAGTTCGGGCGCCACTGTAGTGACATTAGATTATTTCGAAGCATGAGACATGAAAAATGAGCAATGCTCTCGCCGGGACTCGAACCTCGACCTCTCGAATACGCGACGAGCGTGCTGAACGAAGGCATGCTAAAAAGACGAAGAAATACCGGATAATACTATTTTTTTTTTTTTTTTTAATGTCATGAAGTTGAGCTATTGTTTTTCAAGACGGGAATCGTTTCTTGGCCATGCTTGATATGGTATATAAGTAATCAATCTTTTCAAGTAAGACTAAGCCATTAAGCTGCGTGTGTGTGCTGAACAGAGAAAGCTGATCTACAAGGACCCAATGAAAAGTAACACTCATCCTACTGGAATTAAAAAACACTTTTATTTAGTAAATTTAGTTATGTAGTAGTAAAAGTTTAATTCTAAATTTGTTGAGTGTGACACTATATCATAATTCTGGGATATTAATCGGATTGTGTTTCAGTGATGCTAATAAGAGCTTGCAAAGGTGTGAGCTTCCTGCATAATTGGTTTTTCGCTATTAAAAGTATAAATAAAAGTTTCGTTTTAAATAGCAAACATTTCTTTGCATAGATACAACTTATCGGTGAATTCAAACGTGTCGCAAAATTATTCACATTGTTGAGATCATTGTTCGTCGAATATAAATAAAAAAGGCATTCACTTGAACCCAGCGATTCAAACCGCAACCGCGAAACGACAGAAGGAGGAGACGAATCAGGATGGATGAGAGAGATATGAGAAGCTTGTTCCTAAAGGCGTAAAAAATGACGCGATATTTCTTTCTCAGTACCACCCTTTCCGCGAAAGATTACAGATTAATACCGAAAACTCTATTTTCTTAATCCGATAATTTCGCGAAATTCAATTCTCTACAACACAAGAGTCCGGAACGGGGAAAAAAAAAAAGTATAACCCCCTCCCTCTTCACTTTTCTTTTTCTAACAGTCATAAAAACTAAAGGTGCATAAAAAATCGAAATAAAAAAAATTACGTGCTTGGAATCTTTGAGCATAAAGATTTACAAAAAGAAAATATTACTCAAAAAATTGTGGGTATAAAAACTAAATAACTACAAAGGCAAAGTAAAATTAAGGGTTTTAAATTAGAAATTGATGCAAATGAAACTATCGATAAAAATCGCTGCGGCGCTCAGTTGTGTTTCTCCGAACGAAAAAAAGGGGCTTTCTAAGGCGAACAATTTTGTTCTCTACTTAGCGCTTCTACTGATAGCAACACAGAGAATTCTTAAATTGTAGGCGGCTTTTAATCTAATCGGATCTGAGCAGACGATTGAATTATTATCATTATTTTTTTCGTGGGCACCGCTTCT